TAAAATTATATGGTGCTTTATGCTCCTGTACATTTAAATCTTTTAATCTGGTGCAAATCACAAAAAATTAATGACTTTCCTGTCTGTGTAGAGTTCCGTCCACTTGAAATATTACTACAATCGATTCCTAATTCTTTTTCCTTCTGTAAACTCAAAAAAAAGCAAAAACATGTGAAGATTTTTTTTGTCTATTTTATTATTTTCGATATTTTTTATCGAAATATTTGAAAATTAAACAAAGAAAACGAATGATAATGACTTTATTGTTGATATTTACTTTAACTCTTTACACTAGGCAGACAATCGATTAGTTCTTCTTCGAAAAAGATCTTAATACACTAGCCGTTTACAATGATTCTTTCTTTGTTTCATAAATTTATTCATTTTTGAACTAGAATGAAAAAATACTTTTAAAAAACGGATCTGAATTTCATTTTTTCAGTTTTGAACAGAAAATACAGTGCGCTTCAACTTGTGTTTTGTAAAACATTTCTCTCTTTTTTTTTAATCTGCTTCTGCTATGTCTACACTTTTTAAATTGTTAATTCTTTTTTTTTTTGTTGAATTCTATTTCGAGATTTACTTTCACGTGTGAGAATAAACTTTTCCTCATTTTTGAGAATGCTGTTTTTTTTCTCTACATTCTGACATTGTTTTTTTTTAAAAAAAAATAATGTTTTTTCTGCTTCGAAGTTTGAAAAAATAAACAAAACAACTAATTTCTATCCTATATATATATATATCTTTCAGTTCGGAATACAGCTGGTTTATTGAACAAATCAAAGGTAAAATATTTACACTATACATCCATACACAAAACATACAATACACACCTCTATCTTCTTTATCTTTTTGGTCGCCACTTTCCCTTTTATATGTTTTTGATTATTATTTGTCTTCTCCTTAATTGTCCTTTTTCTCCTCCTCTTTGGTTGCCCTTTTTTTTCAAGAATAAACATAGCTTTTTGTGACATTCTTTTGCCTATTCTCCTAAACTGGTGTTTTAATTTTGGAAAAAAACAAAAAATTAGCTCTTTTCTCTCCCGTAGAACGTGTATCCAATATCATGTTTGGTTTGCCTCTTTCCTTTTCACCTTCTGGCTCGGTTATGGTACTGTTCTTTCCTCAATGACAATAAAAAGTCATAAGATAAAATTGGTGGGTAGAAAATCATCCTTTTGAAAACTTTGCTTTATATCTGTATCATAATCGATTTTGTAAATGCATAGCCAACAATATCAAAATGATATTATAATTTTACTATTCTAATACTACCTGCATAATGCACCGCATTAATGTTAATTAGATAATGGATTTGTAAATTTGCACATTATTCTTTAGATTGATGTTTGCTTTTTTCCTTTATTTCTCTATAAACCTATATCAACACGCATTCTACTTCAACTATTTACAATTTCCATTCTTTCGCTATACTCTCTACAGGCACGCACTAAATCTGTGAATGTTATACAGTTGCCTACGATAGAAGATTATCCACGTACCCGAAGAATCGAAATGTTTGACTCCGGATAACGTTGATTTTTTAAATTACTAAATTAATAGTGAGCCCCTTTCGATATTTCATGGATGAATAATGAACCTATCTATGAATCAGTTGGAATTGAGGCTAGCAGAACAACCTTGAAAACTGACTATGAAGGATCATTTATGATTGAGAGTTTATGAACAGGATCGATTTTAACTATATGACTATGAATGATAATTGCTGAAAACTTAGTTCTCTATAAGAAAATATCAGTAGGATTACTGGAAGAACTATTCAAACTAGAAGCTCTTCGAAGATTGATTCACAAAATCATAAAATATGAAGCTTTACTTTGTCCTGCTCATCTCGCTCAAGAATCTATCAGATATCTTTAATGTTGATAACTGTGATGTGGTAACAGTGTGATATTTAATACTACTTTTTTTTTGTACAACATTTTAACTATTACTACTTTATATTGAATAAAATAAATCAATAACTATCTTGTTGACTGAGAAAGAGTCTCTTGTTAAACCAGCTTTTGAATTGAAAAAACTCTTTCATTAATTCATACGAAATTCTGTCATATCCCAGCAACTAGCTAGAAATGAGAATTCATAAAAATGTCATTGCATTGATACACTGGAAGCTCTATGGATGACTGTCAAGAAAAATTAAGTTAAAAAAAGATATGTAATCTGTACTATATATAGATATTGAATGTTATACCAGTTGTCCATTCTACAAACACGACGTTAGCGTCGAGACAGGTAAAACCATGCCCTCTCTGTTACAAAAAGCCAAGCGAAAGTGAAAGAATTTGAGAAACATTATTTGAAAATTCGAAACTTCGCACTCTATAATTACTTAAATATTTTTAAATTATTGAACAACATTTCCCTTTAACACGACAAAGTAAGAGTCTTCTCAGTTTCAAAAGCACATTCCAGTGGATTATGATAAGGATTATTCTTATAGTATGGGGTGGTTTGTTCGAGCGATATACCGCAAACTCAGTCCATACGTAAGTCAAACATCTTAGGCATCTTGTTCAATATTATCAACATCCATCTATTATCTTTCGCTCTGTGTTTCTCATTCATACCAAAACCAAACGAGCATATAATTTTATATCAAATAATAAAAACGAGAAGACGATTGTATTGTATTATTAGAGATAATGCAAGATTCGATGCATTTACTAAGATGCACACTAAGATGACACTAGTGAGTTGATAGTCTCATTATTCTGCCATATTGTTTTCATAATCATAACAATGGAATAAAAGCGAACAGAAAATTATTGGAAGAGGATGCACTTGTGAGAGTTCTGAAATTTCTAGTGACTATCTACAATTCAAAAGTCATGTTTCATCGATCAAGGACAGTTTTCCTTTCGACAATCCACACTTAAGACATACCTCGTTTATTCTAGTAGAATACACACTCGAGCACGTAAAAAGAAACTACAAGGAGTAGAGAAATATGTATTTCGATGAAATAACTTTCGATTAAAGTTTAATAAATTGTCTTTATTCCAGAGATAAAGTTGTATGCACTTGTCAAGTAAAAGTGCAAGTACTTCCATAAAGTACTTCGTGGTAGTAACACCAAGTATTGCAATCTTAAAAAAGTACTTGTAAAAATTCTTTACACATAAACAGCTTTGAAAATACTTGTCATTTTTTTCAAATACTTACCAAGTAATCAAGTACGTTCACTAAGCCAGTTTTCAAGAAAAAAATGTTTTTTGGAAAATGCCTCAAGGTTGAAAATTCGTGATGAATTTTTTTATTCGAGAAACATTTAAGTTTATCATTCGAAGCTGTTTAACAATCATATCGCACATCCAATATTTGTGTCGAAGAAAAACGCTTGAAAAGTCGTCGAACCTTTGAAGCACGTCTCAAAAAATCCGCTACATTCCAACAAGGATTACTTGAAGACCGGAAAATTGCCCTTCCAGTTCTTTTATCAGAGATAGGTGCAAATATTTACTGTTGGAAAATATACATGGTGTGGGATCGCCAACGCATATGGCGGCAATTAAACTACATCATTCGATAGAACTTGTAATTGTCATTTTATCCCGGTGAAAAATACTTTACAAAAAATTTTTACATTTTATTGATTCAATGTGGAACTATTGAATACGTCAATCTCTCACATCGTCTGTAATGTACGACAGAATTCTCCACTATACTGAGTTCGATCCTAGCGTGTCTTAACCGACTAACGTCAAGGAAAAACCAGACACTTTCCTTGTATAACATCTTAATTAACAGCAGAGCGAATAGCTGTATTCCAGTGGTAGACGTGTATTACTTCTTTCATGTAAAGTTTTTTTCCTTGTTCTCAACAACAGGCAACATCTTGAATTCTATTTTTCCGTTGGTTCATTAACCGACCAAACAGATTAGGATGGTCAGTCACAAGCAGACATTACATTATTTTTTTCTAAACTCTTTCTTCCAGTAATATAAGGCGGTTTCCGTGTTTGAAAGAACACTTTTAATGAAACAAATTTTGACCAATAAAAACAGAACTTTGTCTGTCTCTATAAGTAACTTCTTTTTTAACGCTCGTCCTGAGTTTCGTGCACGGTTACTGGTACGCTATGTGTGTTCACTTATCAGTGTTTCTATATATGGCACTTGAAACATATATTTAACCGCTGCGGGTGTTTTTTAGGTTGTTGAATATTGTGAGTCCTTCAATCTTTATTTGTGAATAATTATCATGGATGTAGATGAAACTAATACGCTAGTTGAAAAATCGAATAATGAGAAAATGAATGGGTATGTCTGATCTCTATTAAAAAATTATTAGCTGCTATTTTTTTTTTGCAAGTTTATTTTTGATGTTTTAGTGAACTTAATGAAAAACTGTACGACACTCTCAGGCATAAGCTAGGTATATTATCTTAAAAGTTTCTCTAATACGTTAACTATCTCTGTTGTATAAATAATTTTTAGAATCATTATCGCAAATAAAGTTTGCAGCTTATCGTGTTGCTGGTAAACTACGGGTATTGCAAAAGTATTTGAAATGTGAGTAAATAATATGTCTAGAAGAATGAGCCCAATCATTATTTCGCTTCCTGTTTAGTAACATACGTCGATTATAATGTTCTTGTTCGTGCTTTTAACACGCATAAATTACAGTTTGGTGAAGGGGGGACAATAAAGCAAGACGAAGCTCGAAAAGTATTATGTGCCATCTATCAACTGTTATCGCCATATCATTTTAATGAATCAAGTATCGATGAAACAATAGACACGTTATTGGAAATAATGAAAGACATGCTGGATGCGTAAGTTCTTGTCGAATCATCTATTAGAAAAAAAAATGTACAATACAATTTCTTTTTCTATAGGAAGTCGCAAGATTTTTTTGATGTGAATGCATTCAAAATTGTTTTATTCGCTTTATCCAATGCAAAATTGCCAGAAAAATATCGTTGTAAGGTTCTTTTTTATGAAGTTACTTAGCGCTAATGGAGACAAGTTTGATTAGCTCGTAATTTTTGGAAATGACTAAAATTCTAATGATAGGTTTTATTTAACTTGGTTCTTTAATTCAGGCTTTTTTCGGCAAGTAACACATCCAAACGTAATTGCTTCACAAAGCAAATTAACAGAATTATTTGAGATACTTTTAAAGGTAATTACTCCTCTGAGTACTAGTTAAGGTCATGTACATGGATTCTGTTTATTTTTTCTAGCTACCAAATTATTTTGATAACGTTGATCCATTTCACTACGACAATATACCAGCGTGTGTACAAAGCTGTCTCGATCATGTAAGTTGTTTTTTTCTTTAGTGAACAACAATTAGTCATGCATAACTATTTAGACACACGATGGTGTTGTACGTGAAGATATTTTTGTTAATTGGATGGGACGTGAACCTCAAACTCTAGTATGGCTTCCAACAATGCATCGCTTAATTGCAACAGAAACAGGTTCGTATATTGTACTTGAATGTTTCCAACAGAAAAACTGATTTTTCTTGTGTTTTAGTGAGACATGAGGCAAGATGTGATACATGTAAAGGTTATCCAATCATCGGCATGCGGTATGTAATTTGTTGGGAACGCTTAAAAAGCAGATGTTAAGCTAAGGGCGAGGGATTATTATTGCTTGTAGTATAACGTTCGCTCATTTTATCTCCCATTATAATTGCTATCCTTACTTTCACCAGTATCCTACAAACACACTTTAAGATTTTTTTGTACAAATTATTTTTATTAGAAATATAGATAAGTATTTTCTTTTTCCACTATAATAGCAAGCGAGGAGAACATACGCTTACAGTTAAAAAAAATAGAAAAATAAACAAAACTGTTATTTTATTAGATATCGCTGTTTACGTTGTTTTAATTATGATTTATGTCAAAAATGTTTTTTTACTGGCGCTCACGTGCGCACACATGATGGTTCACATCCAATTGAAGAATATTGTAAACAAGTAAGAAGAATGTTAACAATATTATGAATGAATAATATTAGAGTAAGCCTTTTCTTTTCTATTTAGGTAACACCATTTGAAGATTTGAAAGCGTTTTATGAATTTATCAAACTAAAACTTGGGAATCGAGAAGTAAAACGAAAAGAACGTTATCTAACGATCGAGCGTTCAAAATCATTGTAAGTTATATTTTTCTGAGCGTGAAAAACGGCAGTTGTTCTTTTTAAGAAAAAAATAGAGAGCTGTTATATTTATGAGCAGTGACTAAAATTAATGTAAATATATTCTATATATTCCAGCAGATGGAATGAGGTGAATTTAAACAGGGAAGTCATTGTTTTTGTGTAAAACGTATTGACAGTATTTGTTCATTGCTAAGCGTGATTTTAATGTTGGTTTACTTTAGTTGCGATACCCCGGTTTCATCAGCAAATAGCTCGAGTCTTTTAATGAACAATGGCATTAATGGTACAATGGTTCGACACGATGATCTTTCAAGAAAAGTAAGATGACTTGTTGTTGTAGATCAGTAATAGAATAATAACACACTATCTCTTTATCTAGACTTTATTAAATGAAATATATAAACCCATGCCGAAAAGTGACACAAGTGCAACAACATTGTCACAGTATGTCCTCTATTCTTCAATTTTCATTTCCTCTGATAAATATCTTCTACTTTTCCTTTCTTAAAGTCCATCCGATCTAAATGAGCAAGTTGTGCCATTAGTTCATCAAACTGGTTACGATAATGTGCCAGAAAATCAAATTGGTGCAAAAAAATTATCATCACCATTAAAGAAAAAATTAACAAGTGATGAACCATTATCACAAAAAGAACAAGTAAATGGGAAAACAAAATCCAAGGGAACTAAAAATAATTATATGAATGTAAATGAAAATCCAAATAATAAGAAAATTGACTACGCTGTAATTAACAAAAAAGCAAACATTCGTCAAGAATTACCCATTGATGGTGCACCACTCATTTTACCAAAACAACACTCACCAACAAAGAAAAATTCATCGAAAAAAATCGAAGAGCATTTGTTATTAACAGATCATTATAAACTACCACCCATTGATAAATCGTCGAAAGATGAAGATGAAGGACCACCATTACCACCGAAACAACGACAAAATTCGTCTAGGGCATTAGTCTACGACTTTATTGGCAGCGAACTTCAAGAGTTGAAAGAAACATTAGCTCAATTTGAGGATAATAGTTCGAGTACGTTGTAAATATGATCGTAGAATGAAAAAAAACGTATAGTACTAGTCGTATTTATCTTTTTCATTTAAGTGCACTATAGTTCAAGAAATCTTTCTTTTTTTTCCTATCTCACTTGTTTTCTAATTTAATTTATCATCTTTCTGTATAAAAAAGTATAACTTTTTGTAAACGTTTCTTTGCATTCGATCTTGTGCAGTTTCTTTTACTTTTTTAGAGTAGCAATTTGAATCCAGTATTAGAATTTAAATAGTGAATGATTTTTTTTTCTTACTGAATTTTATACTCTTTTTTTTTTAATTAATGCGAAGCATTTCGTATCACATTTTGTGTGTGTGGGCGTGCATGTATCTGTTCTTTCTTTGTGCTGATGTCAGTTACTTAACTCTTGCGAACAAACTTAATATGATCGCAATATATAAACGAGAGTGGACGTTAGATTTTACATAGCTGTTTGTTTTTTACTTCTGTGTTAAGATTTATTCTTATCTTCTAATTTAAAGGATCTAGTTATCATCAAAATCTAAATGATTGATAAACTACATTTCGCTATTCAAAAAAGTATTAATTTATTTCCATTTAAAGAACCTAGATTTATGTTTTTGTTTTTTGCTATTAAAAATGAAGAGTTTATCAACATGGTTCTTTACCAATAGTGCAATTTTCAATGCAATTTGACACGTTAAAAATGCACAAATCAGAGCGTAAACGCCTCTCAGAAGAAAGAATATTTTTTCGTAGAAAGTAGTGGGTTGTCATTGTGCTTGTATTCTGTATGTTTCTCTTCGATGTACATTTTCTTTTTAATTGTCCAGGAGGGCTATTCGTTTCTCTTCTTCTACTTTTAGAAAACATGAAACTACATTTTAAATAGTATGCCTTGCGTTGTGACATGAGTTATTAATTCATTCAAATATTCATAATAACATGTGTACAATAAAGACGGGTTGCCAACAGCGTTCGTTCTTTCGTGAACAATCAGTGTGTATTACAGTCTCTGTACGAAGTTACGACTCCAGTATGTTTATCGATATCCTTGTAATAGGACTAATCTATTGTAAGATATATCGATGTTTTAGAGAGTTCAAGGCGAAAATATGTCAAGATTTTCTCTGACTTTCTTTAACGATAAGACAGGTATTCAGAACTTTCGTCCGATATTGTTAGATACAACTACTTCTTGGTTTACTTTTGTTTCATTCGTATTTGAGTGTTTTAACATTGCAGATAAGATATTTACAGGGGAACAGTAAGCAACATTGTACTTTCAATCTAGTAGACGACCTTATAGCGCAGTACACAGAAGTTCACAGATGATGAGTCCGTGGGCTTTATAGTTTTCCACTAAACTGTGTCGAATGGCAGTGTCTGCTTGACAAATGGACTCTGGGTTTTTTTCAATTTTCCTGGAATAGTTAGTTGCAGGAGGACATCTGAGAGTCAAAAAAACTCTGTCAAACCAAAACTGCCATTAGACACAGCTTAGTAAGAAACCATAGAATTGAGTGGAGCATCGTTCGAGACTTTATAGTCACAGCACAATACTGATAAAAGTAATTGTTACAAACCGTCTGATGAAACTACCATAAATTGCTTCTGCTATATTTTTGGTATTAAGTTGTAAACAATTTTTCTTATTCTCTCGATTTTATTTATGTGTTGTTCTTATATGTTTTCTGTGGTTTTTGGTATCTCTCATTAACCTTCTTTTTGTGAAACATACGCAATAAATTTGTAATTGGCTAATCTATTGTGAGTTTTTGTATCGTGCAAAGGACAGAAATATCATTATAAGAAACGTGTTTCTTATCATTTTTACTTTTCTAATATTGTTTTATATATGAGTACTACAAAATAAATAGTATTGTAGCTACTCTTTGTTTCTATTTTGATATTACAGTCAATTGTCGATCATCGCCCTGTTCCTTCTCCATATACATCAGTATTATCTTAATCAATACATTTTTCTCTAGAATATCAGAAAATCATAGTGTAACCAGACTTTTTCATGATTCTTTTACATGTCATGAATGTTTTTATGTTTCGTTTTAGAAATTCTGCTTTATCACTAGTTCAATAAACATGACGGAAGATAGTCGTCGTTTACCTCCCGATATGAGAAATTTACGTGCATGTCTATTATGCTCGTTAATTAAAAATGTTAATATGTTTGATGAAGAGGGTTGTGATAATTGTGAAGATTATTTACATTTAAAAAACAATCGTGATCGTGTTTATAGGTGTACATCATCGAATTTTGAAGGTATGATTGCATTAATGCAACCAGAAGAAAGTTGGGTAGCAAAATGGCAACGAATTGATCGTCATTGCAAAGGTTTATATGCTGTATCAGTTACAGGCACATTGCCACGAGACATACAACGAGATTTACAAAGAAGTGGAAGATCATATCGCTCAAGAGATCTTAGTTTAAAAACATAGAAACAATGATTCATGTATTTAACTTGTATATACAATTGTCTAAACTTGTTTGTTGTTTTGTTTCATTTATGAAAGAGTGTTGATTAACTGATGGATAAAAGTGTAAAGAGTAAAAAGAAACATCACTGATGATTGGTGTCGTATTTGACTGATTTTACGCTGTTCTTGATCAGAAAAACTTATTGTCAAACTGGTGATATATTGAGCATTTTTCTGTATACTGATGTGAAAATCTTCTAAAATCATTGATAGTTTTTGTGTCAAAATACGAGAAGCCTCATATCGGGTTGACAAAGCAATGCTTCACCATAGTGTTTATGGAATAGGAGAAGACATTTCATTGAGACATATGCAATTTTAATAAACAGATCAGTGTATTTAAATATAACTCGTACGTCGGATAAAACGAACATCGCTGATTATAAATGTATTTCTGTTCATTAAGATTAGCAGAATAATTAAGTTAGAGCCTTAATTAGCAATCGGATCACGAAGAAGTTGAACTTTTCATGTACATAATGAAATTTTCGTTCTAATAGACAAAAAAGTTTTTTAAAAACGCAACATCAATCGTCCCGCTTAGAAAGAAGCACTGATATCCTTTGTACATTCATATGCGATCAGTAATTTTAACAGTTCAATTTGTATATGAATTAAATAGCACCCTATTTCAATCATTAATAAAACAAGCATCTTTTTGTCAGAAAATATTTGTGTTATTGTTCAAGCTATTGAGAAACATTTAATGTTTTTGACATCATTTTCGTGTCATTGGGTATGTTGTGTGTTGTATGACAAGTGATACGACTGACGTTGTGTTTTTAAAAAACGTTTTGATCTATTAGAACGAGAATTTCATTATGTACATGAAAAGTTCAACTTCTTTGTGATCCAATTGCTAATTAAGGCTCTAACTTAATTATTCTGCTAATCTTAATGAATAGAAATGCATTTATATACAAGGATGTTCATTCAATGCGCAGTACTCGTTAAAAATACGCGTTTTTCTTCCGCCGTTTACATAGGTAATTAATTATAATATTCTTGAGACATTTTTCAGGTCAAGTCCGAATGATGTGCAGTTCACATGAGAAACAGCGCCAAGAATTCTCTACAAAATGAACTAACTTTTAATTTCCTTGTTTAAAATTCTCGGTTGAAACGAAGTTGTTCAAGTACATTCCAGCCATTTTTGCTGTGCTGATCATACTCCAGCGATAAACAATTGGAGTAATTAAGATCAATTGATATCTGCTTTCTGGAAGTTGATTAGTACTAATTAACGCTAACGAATTTTAAGATAAGTTTTACGTCGGTCTATAGGTAAGACTCAGCTTAACTTATCTGTGAAATATCCGGTGAAAAATAACTACAAAGCTTCAAGAATACTGAGAAGTATTTTTATTCTAATCATAATTATCCCAGGCTACTCTACATTTTCCTTCCATTATATGTACACAATTCTCTCCTTTTCTATTTATTCATTTTGCATATACAGACAACGGACGAAAAAGATCCCTATCCCGTACTTATTCGCTATTGTACATCAATTAGCATAACAGACGTAAAGTTCACTCCTTTTCTTTGTCTGTATTCATATATTATTTTGTCCATTATTTAGAATAGACGACTAGATAAGTCTGTCTTCTTCATTTTAATATAAATTGTTAAAGCATTTAAGTTACTCTGTTTTCCTTAATTTCATCAGGCAATTTTCTGTGGTAAGTAGCTTCAATCTTCTGTGAGAAGAATTTAGACCTAACAAGTGGGGGGAATACCGTGCATATTACACACATCGCTTTGTTCCTTCTCCATATACATCAGTATTATCTTAATCAATACATTTTTCTCTAGAATATCAGAAAATCATAGTGTAACCAGACTTTTTCATGATTCTTTTACATGTCATGAATGTTTTTATGTTTCGTTTTAGAAATTCTGCTTTATCACTAGTTCAATAAACATGACGGAAGATAGTCGTCGTTTACCTCCCGATATGAGAAATTTACGTGCATGTCTATTATGCTCGTTAATTAAAAATGTTAATATGTTTGATGAAGAGGGTTGTGATAATTGTGAAGATTATTTACATTTAAAAAACAATCGTGATCGTGTTTATAGGTGTACATCATCGAATTTTGAAGGTATGATTGCATTAATGCAACCAGAAGAAAGTTGGGTAGCAAAATGGCAACGAATTGATCGTCATTGCAAAGGTTTATATGCTGTATCAGTTACAGGCACATTGCCACGAGACATACAACGAGATTTACAAAGAAGTGGAAGATCATATCGCTCAAGAGATCTTAGTTTAAAAACATAGAAACAATGGTTCATGTATTTAACTTGTATATACAATTGTCTAAACTTGTTTGTTGTTTTGTTTCATTTATGAAAGAGTGTTGATTAACTGATGGATAAAAGTGTAAAGTAATTGAGTTATTATGAGAAATTTTTATATTTTATACTAAAAATTGAAGTAATAAACAACAAAATATCATATTTTGAGTAAGAGATAAACCACCATTTTGTTCTTTATATCGATCTTGTTCATGGATGATAGCCAAAACAGCCAATACGTCGTTGATTGCATGCATATTGCTGTAAATCTCGGCGTTTTTGTGGTTGATCATCTCTGAGACGATGATTTGAATATTCCTATGTGCTGAGTTCGCGATCAATACCGCCTTCTCAGCCACTTCGTGTCAATTTTTCGACCAGAAATTGATTATGTATGAGTATGTAATGGTTCTTTTGGAGGAAGCATGTGGCGGCATTTTTGGGGTCTTTTTACTGACGGAATGCACATGTGCATGCAACGTGGTCTGTGGCGCACAATTATTCCACTTACGATGTGATGATATTGATGGTGGAAGCAAAATGATTTCAGAATTATAATTGGCAGTGTTGCTAGTGGTTGATCGACCGGTACAATCTATATAAGAACTGGTTTATGAGATCGATCTGTTTCGGTATCAACGATAATTGTTATTGTTAATGATATTATGTCAATTAGAGAATCCATTGTTGTATGCGATGTGAGTTTATTGATGTAATATACATTATACCACTGATACCACTGATCAATTGCGAACGGTGGAAACGTTGATCACAATTCTTCATTTTCTATTAATTTTTTTGTATAATATGATCTAATTCGGTAGAGCATCTACAACATGGAAAGAAAGAAATGCTAAATTTAGTAAGCTTGGAATAGAGAGTGTTTAAATTGAGTCTAGTCAAGGGGAAGAATCTACTAAACAAGATTGCCTCCCTACAGGTAAGTTGCTGCAATGAAACTCATAATTGTGGAATAAGTTGAATTATAATGTCAATCTCAATTTGCTAACATAATCATCATCATTAATTATGACGGTCGTGTATAAATAACAATAATCTATCACATGGATTTTGACGTTATTGGAAGCCTTTCTCTTCAGCCAGCCACTTCAATCATTGTTCAGATCATTTTCGTGACTTGCAAGTGGAAACAGAATAACCGAACTGCTAATTAATCTTGATAATGTTATTTTTGGTTTCCCGCTGCTTTGATCGCTGTTATTGACGATTCATCTTTCGACGAGCCCAATCATGATAAATTTTTAATTTCTTCCTGAATTGCTGATAATAATCGTTGGATTTGGCGAAAATCACATGTTTTAGTGGTTCATCTGGTGGCAATTTTCTTTCTCAAGATGTTGCATACAGAAAGATGGAGAATTTCCTGCGCTGCAAAATGAGCGGCAAACAAACTTTCAAAAATATGCGTAAAACCATTCTGGAAATGTTGAATTTACGAGGGAAGGTCCCCAACTGTCCGATCGCTTTCGAGCCGAAACCTAGTGGACTATAGGTAGTCAATCATGCTGATTCCGAATATCAACATGAGACGTGCTGCTAGGCCTCCAGAGAGTGGTTTTCTGGAAAACCAGTTTTTCAGAAACTCTAAAAAATAACCCAAACCTTTCTTAATGATGCATGATTGTAGT